CGGATCGATCGGACCGAGAATAAGCTGCGAACGATCGGCTCGGTTTGTTTCTACGGGCAGCGACACTCGGAGATTAGCAGTTTTATTTTACGGCCGAACGGTCGGCCCTATTTTTCTTCTTACGGTATTGTAGGATCTTGGGGGAAAAAAGAGGGTACAGTAATGTATTTCTAATCGACGCACAGATTGTCCACAAAAATGGACAATTTAGGGAGAGGAGAGACGCGATTATTCGATCCTTGCGATTTGTTTTTATAATTACGAATTGTCAACAATTATAAAAACGAGCCTCGAGGCTCGAATAATCGTATCTCCTCTTCCCAAATTGTCCATTTTTGTGCACAATCTAAGCGCCAGTTAGGGAAACATCTAGGGAGACAATTTAAGCGTCAGTTACTGTACCGCTTACGGGACCCCGATCCTGGGTCATACTCGCATCGCAGCTAATCGACTCCCTCGAACAACCGCGGAACACCCTCGCTTTTCCCAATCTCCGTACAAGTTGCTGTTCTCGGGGGGATCCTGATCCCCGCGGTGTCGTGAAATGTCGCGCGTTTCATTGTACGAACGAATATCGGTTCGAAATAATGCCCAACTCTGCGATCCGCCGGCGCCAGAAAGAGAAAGCTGTGGGGAACCGATCGAGTAGTTCCCTGTGAAATATGAATCGCAACGTTGCGCGTGTTTCAGTTGCATAAAACAGTTGTTTAGTCGTCGAAAGTAAACGATTAGTTCTCGTTCTGGCCGCTAATCGCGGCGCAGAAGCGTCAAGAGAGACTTCATTACGATTGGATCGTTATGCCTAGGGTAACAATGTATAATATATACTATATATGTATGTATATGTTGGTCTACGGCGTTTCCGTTCCGCTTCTAATCGCTAGCTCCTATCGGTGTGTCTAAAATGTCGCGGGCTCCCGTGAGACTCGAGAAAAGAGAAATCGAATTTATATATATATTTATATATATACATATATAGGGAGTCCCATAATTATGTTAATACCCGGAAATGGAGAGTTCCTGAGATCAATCGAAGTAACTTTTTCCTTTGCGAAAATGCAATACGCGGCTTCGTTTACGAGTTATTAGAGAAAAACGCTGACCAATAAGAGGCGAGCTTGGCTGGCGCGAGGCGGCCGAGCCAATCAGCGAACTGGGATTCGACCGCTGGCACCGTTAGCTCGGCCGCCTCGCGCCAGCTGAGCTGGGATTCGGCTGCTCGACTGCTGGCGCCGTTGGCTCGGCCGTCTCGCGTCAACCGATCTCACCTCTCATTGGTCAGTGTTTTTCGTTAATAACTCGTAAACGAAGCCACGGATTGCATTTTCGTTAAGGAAAAAGTTGCTTGAAATCACCTCAGGAATCGCCCCTTTCCGGGTATTAACATAATTATCGGACAGCCTGTATACAGATATAGATTTATGTTTCGTCGGTTGCGTAGATTAAGGACGTGTGGTATAATCGCGTAACGCTTCGCCGCCAGCATCTTGTTTAGGTGATCGTTACTTCTCGACGTATAGTAACTGGAACCTGAGTTTTGCATTTTCCCTGCCCACCCACTCGCTCCGCCTATCGTATATATATATTTACATAATCGACGTATTGATATTGCTGCCAATACTTGACAAAAAATTTTTCGGTGTCCGAAAAACGTCGCGAGTATACCCACGCGAAGAAAATTGACGCGCGTTTCCGGTTTCATGGGTACAAATGGGTAACAATGGCTACAAATCGTTTTCCCCTGTCAAAGAGATTGTGTGCTATTGCGCGCGTGTTCTGTGTGTGTGTGTGTGTTCATTATCGAATAAAATTTGATTACTAGCGTTCCCGCGCGCGAAACTCTTGCTGCAAGGCTACTCCTGTTCTTCTCACGGCGAATCTACAGAAATATCTCACTAGATTAAATTGTCTCTTATCACTTTTCGTCGTTGTCGACGCATAAACTTGGCGCCGAATCGGCACCGTACAAATTTTCCCTTCTTCTTCGCCCATAAACACCTTCATCGAGCTTCCTTTCTTTCTTTCTTTCTTCCTCTCGCTTCTTCCCACGCCCTTTTCTTTCGTTTCGTTTACGCATCTCGCATCCGTTTAACATGTACAAAAGCTAAGGCAACTTTCACACCGATCTTGGATCACGGATGCATCGAGAAACACGTTTATCAATATCGCCTCTCTCCCCTCGGTCTCCTTGAGCGCCCCAGGATCTTCTTGATCGCGCGAAGCTCGACGTACTCGACACGTTCGAACAGGATAAAAGATGGATCTACGACGATCGAGCGTTCTCAAGTCCCAAAAATGTAGGGGACGAGCACCTGCCGCGGCCTCGCAAAGGAATGTTTCACCCGGAATATTTTTACAAACGTGGAAACACCGAGTTCCACGATGAGCAGTCTGTGTCAACGTATTCCGTGCGATCTGTGACTCGAGACGCTACAATTCGCGATCCTGTTCCAACGCACCGATCCCCTGCCTTCGAACCAGACAGAGAAGTCGAGTCGGCGAGGCAAAGGATCATTGAAACCGCAGTACAGTAACGTCTCTCTAATCGACGCTCGGATTGTCCACAAAAATGGTCAATTTCGGGAGGAGAAGATACGATTATTCGAGCCTTGCAACTCGTTTCTACAGTTGTTGACAATTCGTAACTATAACAAATGAACCGCAAGGATCGTATAATCGTATCACCTCTTCTTAAATTGTCCATCAATTAGAGAGATATCACTGTATATTTTCTCGAATTGACGCTTGGAAACAACAAATGAACCGCAAGGATCGTACAATCGTATCTCCTCTTCTTAAATTGTCCATCAATTAGAGAGATATTACTGTATATTTTCTCGAATTGACGCTTGGAAACAAAAATGGTCGATACGGGGAAGAGGGATAGCGAAGAGAATTCCAGTCTCGTGACTCGTTTTTATTGCTGTTGACGATCGGTAACTACAAAGACGAGCCGCGAGGCTCGAATAATCGTATCTCCTCTCCCCGAATTGTTCATCTTTGCGTACAAACTGAGCGTCAATTAAGAAGAATTTACTACGGTTCCACGGAGACGAAAGGCGCGGAAACGATCGCGACGCGTAGATCGTCGAGAGACTGTCTTTTTCTTTTTTGTTCTTGGACTCGATCTCGCGGAAGAAGACGTTTCGTTGGCCTGCCGAGAAGCGTGTCCACCTTTCCGATTCCCACGTCGCTCGTGCCTCTTCTCTTTTTCGTAGAAACGAGCTCTCCACCGAGCTCGGATATATACACCGTGACGCAACCGCTTGATTGTGCGACGAAAACCGCCGGGGACTTGTTGCTTGGCGAGGAAAATACAAAAGTGAATACCGCGCGTTACGGTCTCGCGATATTTCGAAGCTCTGGCGGCTGTCGACCGCGTTCACCGATTAGGGGTGAATCAAGTCCAACCGAGCTCGGATCGTTCGGGAATGGCTACTATCGGAGACAAGGTAGATCGAAATTTCCATAAAGTCGCTCGCGACTCGAGTCCGCAATGGAATGCATTTTTCGTTCGATTCCAATTGCTCCGATACACGACGGTATCGTTTTATCGCATTTATCGCGTTTCGAGACGCTAGGGAGCAACGAAGGTCATTTTGCGAGCTCTCGCGTTGGCTCGCAGCCGGCTGCCATCTCGCGGACGGTGACAATATCAAACTTCTGGTAGAAACGCGACGCTAACGCGTCCGTAGAGCGCGATGCTAAAGGGTGACTCCTCCTGTTCTCGATGCTAGAACTACCGGATAGCGTCTCACCCCAAACGCATCTTTTGGGGGGAAATGTTAGATTTTCATATTCGCGGTACATCGAATCGTACGACAATCGGAATAAATGCAGTCGGTACGGGTAGTTCTAGCGTTAGCGCGGAGCTCTACGTAAATTTACAGTTAAATTAAACATTTCACGGGACTGTATGAACGTTTATTGAGTCCAGTACCTTATAAATTTCTCGGTATTCGCGTACGCTATGGACGAATAAAGATCGGCAGTCCGGCGGCGTGCCAAAAAAGTGGCCCTATGGAGATTTCGAGTACTATATTATATTACAGCGACAAATGGTGTACCGTTCATATCAATTGTTGTATGTGTACACTCTGCTGCATAATTCCGTATCTTTTTATTTTAGGGAGATCATCGTCTGATCAGCCACGCCCATCGAGCTCCGGCTCCTTCCAATGTCCGCGAGAATCTCGTCGAATGCCAAGACTCGCGTCTTTGCCTTCGTTTTCTCTCTCGGCTTGTTCTTCGGAGGTCCATAATCGTCGAATTGACGTCAAAGTGACACCACGCCCCCGAATCTAAATTTAGATCAATTGTCGCGTGTCTGGTCTCCGCGTCTTTCTGTCTCTCCATCGAAGGATTTTAGGAAAAAGAGGAGACCGGGCAAAATGAGATCGTCGACTGGCCAGTCGAGGCCGTCGATCCTTAGCGGCTTCTTTCACCCTCGCCCCTTAAAGGGCCTGGGGATCCCATAAAGTTGCATCGAATATTGTCTCTAATTTTTCACAAGATCGTAGAACACACCCCCTCGCGCTTACACGCGTTGTAATTGCAATATAATTACAATTTTCGTTGGACATGATTTACCCCGAACACGGATGTTTTCCCACCCCCGCTCGAGAATCCAGCCTCCTCCGCCAATTCGGCAATCCCTCGATGCTCCAAACTCACCGTCCAGTCACCTGTTATCCAAGCGATCGTACACGAGTCCTTCGAAACCGTGCCGATTTCGTCGCGAACGGCTGAGCAGTCCCGATCCTGATTCCAATCGGGCGATGCCAAGCCGAAATCTCTCGTTCGTCGTCGATCGCGCGAGTCTCGCCGATCGCGTGCGGCGTTTTCAAACTATTCCGCCGGGGTCACGTGACCCGCGAGACTCGTCGCGACAGGCAATTACATATCACGCTTTCAAGATATATATATATAACATATGCACATATATATTATAAATAATCAATTAAAGGTTTGCTTTCAAAGTAAGTAAAAATATATAGATATATATATATATGTATATATATTTTTCCCCTTCCTTCCTTTTCTTTGTTTTTCTTGCTGGTACTCCTTCATTCGCTCATTCTTCCTCCTATCTCTTTCTCTTTCCATTTCGCGCATTCCCATTGCAAACGTGTTTCGTATCATTTTATTTCATATTGCGCTTGTGCACCTGCGTGTGAAAACTCTTCTTTGTCTTCCGTGTGTGGGTGTTCGTGTAGGCGTGTCCGACGCGCGGCGTCGTTCCGACGACAAGGCCGAGCGTCGAGGCTCGTGGGCGACGCCCGAAGAAAGAAAGAAAGATGGCCGCCCGTGGAAGAATGTAAAGTCGAGCCCGAAGAAACAAGGGTCCACAAAAGTGTGCTGATGTGTTCACTGTCTTTATTTCGATTAGATAAAATGTCGTCCGGCTCGTCGAGTATCTTGCACTCGACTCGTCTCTCTCTCTCTCTCTCTCTCGCTCTCTCTCTCTCTCTAATGTGTATGTGTGTGTGTATGTGTCTTTTGCGCGCGGAAATCTCGTGCTCCGATTTTCGAAACGGGGCTACCGCGCAGAGCCCGTTTCGCTGGAGCTTGGTAACGCGCGAAAATTGCGCCATCGTCGTCGGATCGCCCGCGTCCGCTTCGAATTTTGAGAATCCCGTGACGTTAGAGCAAGCGGCGCTTTGTCGGGGTTCGCAGAAATCGGGGACGAAGAGAATTTTCGTAGAAGAAACGGGAAACCCTCGATTCTGTCGGGCACTATCGTAGAATTTGAAACGGGACGACGCCCCCCGGGGCAGTCCGGAGCGCTCCCAGGGTAAAGAGCTCTAGCGAGGCCTGGTCTAGATTAGCAGCTTGTGGGTTATTATGGGAGACTAGAATCCGAGTGTTCTAGCGGAGAGGGTAAAATAAAAAAAATGGTACTTGGAGTTATATTTTTAGGGGACGTAGAATCTAGGCCAGGCATTCGATAAGATTGCCCCTTGGGGCTTCGTCGGAATCTGGAGCAACGAAGCCACGCCTACAAATAGCCTCCTCTTGCAAAATCGAGAGTTTCCTTCGCCGCCGACGTTTGCCCTCCCCGACGTTAGAGCACTCACAGGGTGAAGAGCGCTCTCTGCCCCGCCTGTTCTACAGTTCTAATAATTCTGACATCGATTCCAACGTGGCTCCGTCGTTTCTTTCGTAACTCCCGCGCGTGTTCGTGCGGCCGAAAGCGACGTTCGAATCGAGGTCCGTTCGGATAAAAAGTCGCTCGTTCGGCCGGGCGTGTAAAAGTTCGCGGACACGCGCGCTCCGACGGCATTTTGAAAAAAAAACAAAAAGTACGATCGAATACTGCACCGGCACGCGATCGGGCGAACGCGAAAATCTAGAAGCCTATCGGCGCCAGGGCACTTAATATCTCTTTCGTATATAAAAAAACTAAGCTACCTAAACCTACGGTAATTCGAAGCCTTTAGGATGAGCAACGAGCCTTTCCTTTCCGTTACCGAGTCTCCTCCTTCACCCGCACCCATAACGCGCGCGTCAATTCTCGTCGTTTCTCTCTGTCATCCTATACATCCGCGCGAAGAAAATCTAGTACTTTTAACGATAGAACAATCGTAATAGAATAATCGTAATAAAGAGAATGCTCGGCGTTGCGACGCTCGCCCCTTCCAATCCCGAGAGACCGTCTCTCGCTCGTCCAATCGTATTGCATCCGTATTTTCCTGACTACGGGGGCGCGGATCGCGAGTCCACGAGCACAACCCGAGACAACTTCCTGTTCCGTTCACGTACCCCCATCGACGCTACCAATCGCGGGAACGACTTATACACGGTACACTTTTGCGATTACTACCGCTTTGTAATACACAAAATTTCCCGAGCAGTTCGCCGTCCGCGATCATCGTGCTTCAACGCTTCGGAAAACCCGTCGGACATCGCGCGCGAGGAAGTTGATCTCGGTTTTGATCGTGGCCAGCGATCGCCGCCGCCTTTGAGATCATTCGAGAGCAGTACGAGTTCCGATCTTTCGAGCGAGCAAGATCCAACCTCCTACGGACGTTCGATCTTCGAGGATCGGTGCAGCAACGTGCCAAAGTGTGTCGCGGGTGACGCGAATAATAATAAATACAGTACGATCGTTCGACGTCACCGCCGCCCAAAACGCGCGCGTTGCCGGAATTCGCGGTACGTCGGATGGCCTCTGCGAACTTAAAGGCTGACGTACACCGCGAACGTTACAGTGGAGGCGCAAACAACTCGCTGACCTAATCGGGCATTATTAGCACGCGCTCGGGAGGCGGACTCTCGCCTGCGAGACACTCTGGCACGCCCGAAACACTCGGGTAGCCGAAATTGATAAAGCGACTATCATCTAATGGAATCTCGAGGGCTCTGGCACGATCGGAAGGGGCGGGGCCGCGGCGCGCAACTAAGATTCCGACGTATAAAAGAGAACTACCGATCGATTCGAACGTACGAAATACACGAACAATAAAATTACGAACGACTGTTGGCGCGTTCGCGCCGTGAACGCTAACGAAACTCGTTTCTCTTCTCTCTCTTTCTCTCTCTCTCTCTCTCGCTCTCTCTCTCTCTTTCTGCTTCTCCCTACGAAAGCACAAATATCATTTAAAAAAGCGATTGGAAAACGAATAGACACGATATTATCCTCCTCATAGGCAATCCGAAATCACAGACAAATACATTTGCTTCTCGAGAAATAATCTCTCCGCGTGCGACACGCGTACAGCCCTCTGGCACAGCACTTCGGAATCTAACGTATAAAAAGTCGGCCACACCGCGCGCACCTCCGCGGCTTTTGTTTTCGTTGTGACGAGTTCCCGTCGAGATGGAAGAGGACAGGTGCGCGGCCACGTTCGAGGCCGGCCGATCGCTCGAGGAACAGGAGACAAGAGGCCAAAAACCGCGGCCTCGTCGCGTCCCGCGGATCGACGGCTTTACGCTACGAGAATCATTGTAAATCGCTAGAAAAAACGTTCCGCGTACATCCGGCGGGCTCGTGCACCTTGCGACGTTGCTAATTATACTCTAATATCACTGTTTGAAGATCTTACACGACGTCGACCACGGTCGCAACGTGAAACGGTGTGCGCCCGCGCGCGTATAAAATGCGAAGGTGTCTAGAAAATCGCGCGAACCGTCGTCGAGGAAAAAACTCCTTTCCCCACATGTGTTCCACAGTTTCTCCGCTTCTGTCCTGTTCCTCTAGGATCCTTGAGTTCCCACCAACTACTCCGATCGCCAATCTCGGAGTAATTTCTTTCTTGTCTTTTTTCTTTTCTTTTTTTTTTTTGAGCGGAGTCAGACTCGTGATTCGTCCCTCCTCTGCCGCTTGCGTCTCCCTCCATCGAACTCTGTGTCTGTAAGACTAGATACATGCCTCTGCTGTTCCGACGTATTCGATCAAATGTTGAGAACTAAGCCCGGAAATTGCCGGCACTCGAACGGCTCTCCTTCTCTCCGCGGAGAGCAAACCGGCGCGAGAAAAACCGTGCTTCCTCTTCGTATCTCTCACTCATTCGTACGTGTCGCCTCACACGCGCACGTATCGGAGTTGTGTTCCGAGTTGACCGTCGACAAGACCCTCTCAGAAGGCCTGCAGACCCTGAGAGACTAATTGAAAAACCCTAATCGCGCCACGCGCGCTCGCAATTATTCTATCACTATGCATAATTCCCGAGGAATATTCACTCTCTCTCTCTCTCTTTCTCATTCTCTCTATCTCTCTCTCTTTCTCTCTTATAAAAGCAGAACGATCAAATCGTCGACATGCCGCGTGCGAAAATATTATGCGGTAACGATCTAAACACCTCTCGGGGAATCTCTCACCGTCGCTCTCGGAGAGGAGCGGATCCGATGCGCGCGGATTTTTTCGTACCCGCGAAGACCCGCTCGTGTGTACGCGCCGACATCGCGGTCGGATAATATGATCACCGGTGGCCGAGAAACGGGCGACGGCCTTACGTGTGCGGCATGTAATGTTGGTTCTCGAGGGGATGCGAGAACTGCTGCAGCTGGCTCTGCGTGTGGATCTGCATCTGCATCTGCAGCTGCATTTGCTAGGACTGCAACTGCGCCAACGCCGCTTTCGAGGCAAATGCCGGATACGCAAGGGTCGTGTTGAGGCTCTCGTTGTGTTCCTCCAGCGAGTTCTGAGCGTAGTGTAGCACCAAGTGTTTCAAACTCTTGTGGATATTGTACGGCTCCGCGAAACCGAAACCGCGCTCCGTGCCGTATATAATGCAATGGTTAACAGTGCCATTGCACCTGCAACAGAGAAGGCGAGGCCATAAATGATTAGTGGTATACCTTCGACACCCTTTGTACCCGAGTGGCGGCTATAAAAACTGTTATACCATATTTCAAAATTATTTTGGCGGCGTGAATTTTATTTATATTTGAAAAATGTGTTAAAAGTGCAAGTATTAGGCGTGCCAATAGGTTCAATTGCATATGCATAAGTTGTAATAAAACATGTAATATATCAAATAGCTTCGAGTGCAAAGAATTAACTACCAGAAGCCTCAAATGTGATCGGTCTCGAATGGATTAATTGCTATGCGCTATTTAAAGGAAGCTTTACAATTTTCATCGAAGTAATAGTAATCTGTTCGCCAAAATTATATGCTAATGTCGGATCATCATCGGAATTATCATGTGTGAATAATTTCGGCGACTAGTTCGAGTGTTTTGCCGCTACATTTATTGGCGCTATTTTGATGTTTTATGGATTAGATGATTTGTGCATTTTATGATCACCTGCAAATAATTCATAATGCAGCCTTCTCGATGTTTTTTGCACGTACGAATGACGAAAATTCCGCTAAAGATTTCTAGGTTCTTAAAATATTTGTTTCGCTCCTCGATTACAATATATATTGGTCTCGAAGCGGTGATAATTCGTACGTAGATACTTACATGATAGATAATGCGTACTGTCCGGTCCTTGATGTTCGAACGAGGAAGGTGCCATCGGGTCGGTCGGCAAGCAAACGGTCCGCATCGCTACGGGAACACTCGAGAGAAAGCCACGTTTTCTCGTCGGAATGGACTTCAAGGTCAACCTCTTGGAGATCCCCGTAACCCGCGTCGCCTAACATCGAATCCGAGACCGAATGGTTCGACACAAGCTGGTTTATTTTGTTTTGCTTTATGCCGTTCTTCTTCAGCCATCTGTAAACCGAAAATAGAATGCTCGTGAAACACCGTAGCCCCGAAAAAGAATCGTTTCCTTTCTTTTTCTCATTCTTTCTCCCTCGGCCGCGCGGGTATCAACGTATACGTACACATCATGCTTCTCCCTTTGCCGCACGAGCTGGAGGATTTCCGGTTTCAACTTCTGCATCTCCCTCTCTAGGGTTCTATTGTAAGCGATTTGCTCCTTCAAGCTACGGTCCAACTGTTCTTTGCTATCTTCTAAGCATTTCAGTCTTTGTTTCAACAATTCTGCGTTGTCGGTTAAGCTGTAATCAAATGGAGGTAACCCCCCGTGAGAACACGTTTCGTAACGTTCGATTAAGGGATGATTAAAGAAAAAAAAAGCGCCGGCTCACGTTGATATTTCGTGTGGTTGAGCTTCCTTTTGGAATTTCTCCTGTAACTTCATCTGGTCCTCGAACATTTTGATGGCCTCCGTAAAAGCTTCCAGCGCCTGCCGCTTCAGCTGCACCTCGAAGGTCGTCCTATTGTACTGTTCCGAATACTCTTTGTACTCCGTTAACGCGTGAGACGTCTCCTTATCCAGCTCGACGAATTTTTGGATGACGTTTATCGTGTCAGTGGTACTCGCGATCTCGTCATCCTGATCGACATACAATGTGAACCGCTTAATTTAAGAGCTTCATAAATCGTGAATTCGTTACGGTAAACATTTCGTGCATGCAAAGATCAACGCATTGGCTATCAATATCGAAAAAAAATGAATTACGCAGGATTACCTGTTGAAACCGAGAGATAGGGTACAGCAATTTAATGTCCAGCGTGGAATTATACTGCGCCAGGGAGCAATTCCTATAATGATCCACCAGCTCGATCACGGAATGGAAGTTAAACGGCTCCGAGAAGCCGTATTTGCCGTTGCGTTGACAGATTTTGATAAGCTTGTTGGTCCCGCCTTTGCGCAATGTCAGGGTGTACTCTCCGCCCTTCGAGGAGGCGTCGCGGACCAGGAAGGTACCATCGGGGGAGTCGATCATCTTCTCGTTCACCTCGTCTCTCGTGATGTCCCCCCAGTACCATTCAGCCTCTTGCAGCGTGCGTGGCCTGCACAGACAAATGTTAATATAGACTCGTGTTGATATTGAGAGTTGAGAAGTTGACCGATAGGTCGTTAAGGAGACAATTCTATTCTCAAACCAGACTTCTTTAAGGTGACACTGTAAAAATTCGGTTAGCAGTTCAAACGTTCTTCCTAAGTGAAAAATATCGAACTCACCTGTGCTGTTGCTGCGGGTCCTTGTTCTCCAAACCCGATCGATCCATCGTGCTATCGTCTTCCAGCGTACCGATCGGATCCAAAACCGCAAACTGCGGTCTAGAAACTTTCCTAGGAGGTAACTGCGGCGGGCTGGCAAACTGCGGCAATTTTTCGTTCCAGTCGCCGTGCAACAGCAGTATCTCCATTATCCGTATATGAGCTTCGATATTATGAACTATTTGACTGCAAACAAGGAGAAATGTCAACGGTCAAACAAAGGCGTTCGAGAGGTCCAGTTTCCTGGGACGAGTTCTACGGAAGTACAACTTACACGATCCGTTCCCATGGCGGCCTGAGGAAAATGTGGCACAGAACCTGCGTCAGGATCGTAGGCGGTTCCGTGTAACCTCTTCCGTGCTGTAATTGGCAAATCCGACAGAAGTGAGCCATCAAATGGAAGAGGGTGCTACGGTGGTGATGTGGAAGCTCGTCAACCAGCTGCGTCAAACGGGCCGCACACTGCTCGTCATTCCTTATATCTGAAACGTAGAGAGACTATTTAGGCACTCGACCCTCTTGCTGCCTGTTCGGGGTCAGTTGCGACCCCTGCATTCTTTCTACAATTCTCTTCGAGCGTTCTAATACTAATTTTTAGTATTTTAGTATTTTTAGTATATATCTTTAGTATTATTTAGTATTATTTAGATCGTCTAATTTTTAGAGAATCGTGGATCAAAGTACAAAAAATAGAGATTCGAGACTGCAATCGACTATTATGCCAAGCATTTAACACTTTGCCGTGTCGAACACTCAGAGGTGTTCGGGATTTGATGTCTGCTGCCGATCTGAACGCTCCGAAACGCTCTTGCTTCGTTCGTATTAATATATTGGAATTCGTATTGCGTTCTGCGATTAAGTCACTAGGTGAAACAATTAGGTGCGTAGATGATTTTATGCAAAAATTTATTAAGAATCAGATGAAAAAATAATCTTAACGATAACCCTTACGGTTTACTTTTTACGAACCTTTTTCTTTGGCCATTAACAAAAACACTCATCCTATCTTAACAGCGGCTCTTTAACCGCTTTCCGTACCATTTTCTTCCCAGTTATGGCGACTAGAAGTTTTTCGATTGAAATAATTTCTTAGAAGAAAAAAAATTTGTATTTATCGTGAACAGAATTTTAGTCGAACTTAAAATTCGTACTTAACAGGTTATTACTAGAAATCTTCATTACAAGTAAGACTCGTTAAAGTACGGCAAGGGGTTAAATGGATAAGGCAAAGGGTTAAAGGACTACGGTTCCATACAAAAATGAAATTACAATGGTACTTACTCGACGCTTCTATAAACCTATCGTAAAACAGTACGGGAATCACAGGATCCGGCAGCTCGCGCAGAAACTTCTTGAGGACGCTTGCGATGCACTGAGGGGTGTAGGAATTCAAGTCGGCGTTGCACACATCTGCAACGCAATGAACACACGTCTAAAACGATCCAAGTAGTAATTTCCTGAAAGAGCAGTTCTGACATTAAAACCCGCGTTCTACCTAAAAATACTGTTCCGTACCACGATCGCCTTCGAGAAGGCTACCTAAATCTCGAAATTAGCCTGCTAGTCTTAATTTGCAACATCGGTCTTAATTTCTCTGCACCGAAACAACTTCTCGCTCGGAAGTGCGAAGAAGAATGTGCGAAAGTGACGAAAAGAAACGAATGACTGCTACGAACAATGCTGTACGAGACAATCGATAAGGTGATTATGATGAATATTTCCTTGCGATGCAAATGAGTTCTTACTAGACTGCCTTAAACGTGTTTCATATTCGATCAGTTTTGTCACAAATACATAATATCCACGGTCTAGTCGTTACCGAGAAATTCTTTCGTTAGCAGTTTGAAGCTCTTTATAGCTTAGTTCCTCGACGAAATCCCGGTCTCGTTTAACCCTTAGCGCTCCACGCGTTTCTCGAGTACTATCTACCAGCAACTCCGGCACATTTTTATGTTGCTGAGTATAAAAATGGGCAAGAAATGTTTTAATCGTAATGGTATCTACTTGACATTGTGCGAGGTTAAATCTGCATCGACATCGTGAATCGTGACCGAAATTTCCAAGCAGCAAATGCATCCTCAACGAAATGGGTAAATTTACTATTAACGATATTCTTCGCGCTTCTTAAATAAATATATCCCTCGCGTTCTTTGACGCGATTTATTATAAAATTAGCATCGCGAATCGTCCGTTGAATTCTGTTCGGATACGGAATTATCGGAACAAAAATATCTTTTGCGCGAGTTTGCCGGCATTTTTTAATCGTTAATCTTCACCGGACTCGGCTCGATTGATAATTAAATTGAATTAAAAATTACTAAATATTCTTCGGACGTTCTAAAATAAAGTTGAACAGCGTTTTTCTGAAAAATATCACTACCAGCAACTCCGGCACATTTTTGGAGCAAAGCGCCCGAGACAAAGGAAGTCTAATTTTGAGCGGAAAAGATAACGCGTCCTTGCGAAAGCGTTCGATTTTATTCATGCTATGTTGCCAAGTATAAAAATGGGCAGAAAATGTTTGAATCGTAACGGTGCACACGCTAAGCACGTTTTCGCTACAAATAACAATTGCCAACGTCGTCGAAAACATAGCATCTTCGGTGTAATCGTGCTAAAAACATTGGGCTCCGCAGCAGAGCCTTCGGATTTACGGGACAAATGACGGATGTCTCCATAGCGGAGCCAACGGCGCGCTAAGGGTTAAAGATCCCGAACTTGTATCTGGGCCAATCCACAGCCGGAGTCAAGGTCGATCCCCCCGACGGCGACAAATTAAAAAAGAATAAACGAGCGCGTAGCCCGGGCTCGGTGTCTTACCTTCGTTCAATTTCTGTCGCAGTTCCAGCGTCTGCTCGTTGGGAGGGCTGCTGTGGTAGACTTTGTACAGGTCCAGGGTGCCGTCGGCGAACGCCTTCTCCTCGATGCCGCGGGTGCATCGCTCGACGAGGACCGGTGCGGCGCGTGCAGCGATGTCGAATTGCGCGCACAGCCCGAGCCCGAATACTGCAAACGACGACGGCTCGGATGATCTCGGGTTCGCCGGCGAGCGCGGCGAGAGAGGTTCGCGGTAACGAGGAAACAATACCGAACGGAACGGAGCAGCGTGCGGAGAGAACGAGAGACGGGGGAGGGGAATGAGGCGGGTTAGTCCAACGCGTTCCGTGCCGTTCGTCAGCTGGACGAGGATGCGCGCCGCTGCGCCGGGCATTTAAAAGAAACCGCAGCCGTTAAAAACCGTGTCGCGACGAAACAAGACGGCGGAAGGAGTGAAGCAAAATAAAAGAAGAGCCGCGCGCGTACGGCTCTACCTTTCACTGTTTTATTTATCGCCGCGACCTCTGAGGCTGAGGCGGCCCGCCGCCGCGCCGACGTGTATTTCGCGCGGCGGCGACCGAAGCGTGAGAATTTTCCGGCGATCGAACTTTCATTTGTTCCCCGACGCGACGTCGATGACTTTGCGCGATCCTCGATCGGCCTGCGTAAGCGTGATTAAAAAAGGAGAAGAAAAAAAAAGAAAAGGGAATCGAACAGCTGCGGAGGAGGAGACGACCGTCGATCGCGGCCGGGTGGGAAAGGGAGGGGGAGGAAAAGCGCGTGTGCGAACAGGTGTGCGTGGGAGTCCGTTGACCCCGCCGCGGGGAAATAATAGCGCGACGAAATTAATCGAACGTGTAAACGAGAAACGCTTCTTCTTCTCTCTGTCCGATGGAAAGTCTCTCTTGGCCTCGAGCGAACGAGAATCGAGGATTGGAGGGGCCGGGGGAGGGGGGCATCTGCGAGAGATTCGTCGGTTTTTATGAACTTGACGGGGAGAAAAAATGCCTGACATCTTGCAGACACATTCCAGACGACCGAGACGGGAGACGTAAAATCGTGAGGAACCGTATTTCTCGCCCCTCCCCCTCCCTCCTTCTCTCTCTCTCTCTTTCTCTCGCTCTGAATTTCTTTCTTTCTTTTTCGCGAAGGCAGCCAGAGGAAGCACGCTCCGCCGTGAACGCCAGGACGAAAATCGGGGGGAGGGGTGCGGGGACGAGCGTTGCATTTTCTGTAATTACGTAACGCGGCAGGGATCGCCGTAGACAGGAAATTCCGGGAATTTCTCGAGGGCGAATCGATGGCCCGTTCGAGAACGGGAAAGGACGAACCGGGTCAATATGCTCCTGCAACGCGACTGCTGCTACTTCCGCCAAGACTTCTGCGTCACGGATTCTCCCGGAACCTTAATTTGGCCCTCGGCTGCCCTTCCATCTCGGCACGAGAATCGCGTTGACACGATTTCACCCTTTATCAACAGTGCGAAACTTCGACTCGACCTACCCGATGTCCCGAGATTTTTCTTTAACCCGAGAAAGATAACCTACGTCGCAGAGGCGCCTGCGAAGACTGTTGATTTTTGTTAATTTTTCATAGATGTCTAGTGATTTAAGTTTAAAATTACTTAAAATATAAAAAAATATAATATAAATGCATTTTATTTTTACAATAATGCCAAACCTTTAAAATGACTAGATTAACTTAAATAAATATCCATTGTTAGTATAAAATTGACGCCTTAGAAAAGCATGCGCCTCTGAAGCGTATGGTTATCTTTTACGTACGTTGTCATATGGTTATCTTTCTAGGGTTAAAGCAGACAATTTTTCAGAATATCGATCCAATTATTTTACTTGCTGCTCGTTCTTGTATTCGACTCTGTTAGGCATGTATAAAATACAGCCAACGTGTACTAGGAACGTGTACCATCCGATGGGACCTCTCAAAAAGGATAAATCCACGTGGAAAGATAAAAATATCAAGTTTTAACTCTTTGCACTCGAGCGGCGAGACTGAGGCGCCACCAAAAATTGTTATACCATTTTTCGTTCAATAATTGTAACAGTGCCAGATTTGTTGTATTTAAAAAACTGTTAAAATTACATTTATTGTACTTGTAAATCGACACAATTTCAGATGCATAAACTGCACTGAATCGTGTAAAATACAAATACTGCAGATCAGAAAGCATCTTTTGGATTTCGAATTAAAATAGCTGCGACTGCAAAGGGTTAAATTAGACTACGGATCTTTGTGCAAGATGGAAATTCTTTGCACTAACCTTGGCATACTAAATGGGAGATAAAGAATGCCAACCGAATTTTAAACGCGTATTTTTGTCCTAACGATGCACTTTTATAAATTCTTTATATTTTATTTTTGCAGATATCTAAATGTATTATTCAATATTATTTATTTTCCATATAAATAAATACATCCCGAACAGCAAAGATAATATTTATAGCACCTTTTCTTACAAGACTACAAAATCACTCGTCCTTGAGCAGACCTTAAACCTTCCAATACCTTAAGCGTCCCAGGGTTAATTGCAAGAAATAGAAGCCGTCTAAAAATGGCTTCCTCGTTCCAATTGTTCGAACGCGCTCCAAGTAATGTATATTCCTCGATTCTTTTAATCCTCCATCGTTCACTCGTCTTTCTCATGAATGCATCAAATCCGCGATCTGACGACACCGCATCGCGAGAACGTTCGGGATAAGTAGAAACGTCGAACTACGATCAGACACGTGCACCAACTTCGATCTCAATTCTACCAAACACTACGAAATCCAAAGAACGAAACAAGATAATGCTCTAAACCTGTTCTTGAATCGTTCTATTTGATACAACCTTCGCTCGATCGCACTTCACGCGAACTAAACGAGGCGCCTAAGTTTCACGTGATCGACGCGAGAAAGCGTCGCCCGAATTCCACGAGAGGAGACATCTGCGGCGAGGCATCCACTGGCGAAAGATCGGCGTCGGTCCAGGGGACCCTTTGTTCCGCCGCGGAACAGCGCGAACATCGCGAATATAATTTCGAGGCTTGAATCGAGTCGTCGCGAATGCCGCGTACATGCCACTTGTACAATCAAAGGCGTGCACGCATGCATTATAAAAAGGAGACCGAGAACTAGAAAGAGAGAGAGAGAGAGAGAGAGAGAGAGAGAGAGAGAGAGAGAGGCAGAGTTACGGAGAGACGCGATGTAACGGAGAGAAGGCAGCGGGGGAGCGCCAGGGATGCGGCGGGGAAAGGAGAAAGAAATTTATTTTTACGGCCGTGACAGCAACGTCTTGTTCCTTCGTGACCGTGTCTTCGGCTAGCTCGCGGCGACAGAGCCACGGGACAAAAAGGCCCGAATCAAAAGCGATCCCGTACACATATGAATTTCACGGCGACGCCGGCTCCCGATGGAGGTCACACTACGGAAACTCGATATTCGTCACACAGTCGTCCGGCCGGCCACCGAACGAAATAGCAATACGCATCGGGCCCGATGCCATCCGGAACTAGAACGCTCCAATTCGACCCATCTGGGATTTCATGGTGGGACCCATCCTCGGGCGTTAAGAAATGCACGAAGCTCGGAAATTTTATAGATAATTGGCAAATACAAAATTTAGTTCTTACAAGAGAGAATATAAATGTAAGTTTCAGCTTTGTTTTTCAATCTTGTAAAAATGAAAATCATACAAAATGGCGAAGTTATTCGTTGCTTCCGAAATCCCGTCTCGTAGAACATCGATTGCTAGCCGTCACGATTGAAAAATATAGGGACATCTGTATTAAAAAAATTGTCTCGATTCGTAAATTAGAAACTATTGTCTAAAACATTTCTTTCTCTAACTTTAATAAACACAGAAATATTTACATTTTAATAAACGTAGAAATTAGCGTTGTTCGAGGAAAAAGCGGCTGTTTTATCTCAAGAAATAGAAAATGCTTGTAAAAGATTAGATAATTGAAATATCAGCAAAAATCGTACGCTACATTGTAGAACACTCTATGCAGAATATCTGCAGTTATAAAAAATGCAGAATATAAAATTCGAAGCAAATCGGACGTACGATTCCGGAGATTTCGACGGCCAGATTGAAAAATGCAGTTTCGAGAAAAGAAAAATAGAAGAAGTTCCAAGATAAATTTTCTCCGCGACGAAGTAAGATTTTTTCAACTTCATCTTTTCAGTCGTTAAATGTTCACAAACTTCGATACATCGTTTCGATATAACTTTCTGTACGCTCGAGACTTAGAGAAAATAAAAATATCGATTTTTTTGAACCGTTAGGGTGGTATCCTCCCTTGAAGCAAAACCCGTGAAAACGATAGAAATAAATGGCACCTTCTATCCTATACCAACGGCAATCTTCAAACCCACGAAACAATAGAAATAAATGGCATCTTATACCAATGGTAAACTTCAAATTATTCAGACTTTGCCAGAAATTCATGAAACCGTCTTCCTCGAGAGTATCCTCGTAACAATTGCAAAATAAACGCGAAAGCAATTTCGAACGTGAATAAAGAATAGAATAAATTCTATAACCGTATTCTACGTTCGAAATGCTGCCGGAACGGAGACATAACCTCTCGGGTTTGAAGAGGTCGTAGAACCCCGTAAAATAACAGCTTGTGCTCGATCGTGGTAGGGAAATGAAACAAGACAGAAACAATGTGAAAATGAATGTGTAATTTCAAAGCAGGTTCCATTTCAACCTGCCAGACACATCGGTTCAAGCAACGACCAGCGACGATCGAGTCTCGGTTGGTGGGGGGAAGGGGGTCGCGGAACCTCTTAACACGTTATCTGCCGTCGATGATATCATAATTTTCGAGAGTCTACAATTCACAGTTACGAACCTGCTTAATACACAATTCAATGAGAACAGAAATTCCAGTCGCACGCGAATAATGGAATAGTAAGGAATGTATTCATTCCTTTCGGAATTGTCGGGTAAAACGAGAATTTCAATTAGATTACGAAATTACCGGATTTTAGATCAATAGATTACGCAAGCTTCTCCTTTTCATTCGCGTTTTGTCACGTTGTCGGATTATTAGGTTATTAGAAAAGATTAAATAAGATTATATTAGATTATCGGTTCTTACTGTAAATAATAGAGTGGGATAATAGAAGATACGTGTAATTATAGTTCACCATACAGTGGAAAGGTAAAGATGTAAACTGGATCTAAAATGTAAATCCTCAGCCTAGCAGGCAAGGATTAACACTAGATCAACACTATTTTTTTAATTTACGATTATTCATCGTAATTTATTATCGTAATACATTTACGAGTTATTTATTCGATTTATATGTTACTCGCGGCAAATGTCACAATAACGCTTGTTAAAAATCAGAACAAATGTCTTATTGTTACTTTTATAAACTAATATAAAACAGCTGTTCTTCGTGCTCCGTAAGTCTAGTGTTAAATAAATAAATAAATAAATAAATAAATAAATAAATAAATAATAATGCAGAAAAAAGAATTCGACGTCTTCTTGGTACAGCAAAATAATCGAAAATTGTGACAACGAGGTGAGATAAGACAGAGACAATGCGACCAACACGAACGTGTAATTTCGACCGATCGGAGGAGTTCGAACCGAGGAGGAACGAGGATCGAGCGTCGCTAACGAAGACCGAGGCTTTTTCAGTGTCTGGTTACGCTCTAGCCTCGCACCGGCATGGAAAAACGTGGTTTCCTTAGTTAGCGGACGGTCGCCGACGAATTTCGCAAATGAAGCGCGTTGCGTGTACGCGAGCGCGGCCCTGACCATTGACGCCGTGTCCGCGATTCTGCGCTTTGTCGAATGCACACGCGGCGCGGACGCATCCTGCTCCGGCATCGGCACGGCCGCCGAGCTAATGAAGCTCATCGACTCATCGAAGCGAGAGCGCGCGTGGAATAGATCCGAGCGAGCGAACGAGCGAGCGAGCGGCGAGCGGAGGCGAGCTGAGTCGGCTTTATCGATTATAGTCGTCTGCCCGACGAACCACTGTTCCGAGACTAGCCACGTAATTTCTCGGAAAACTGTCTACCTTCACGGACGCGCGAGCACATAGCACCGGGCTGCCTAACGGAGCGGCGGCGGGCACGAGTGGGCGGACCGCATCGCCGAAAAACCAGTCGAGCGCCGGAAAACCAGGCTGTGTTCTATCATTCACCGTCTACCGATCAAATTGGTACCATTTTTTACCCCGGTTGCGTATCACCACTTAACCGGTTAGCTGTGTTCGACGAGTATACTCGTCACGGAGAAGCGGCGGTACAGTAATGTCTCTCCAATTGAAGCTCGAATTGTCCACAGAAATGGACAATTTGGGAAGAGGAGATACGATTGTTCGAGCCTTGCGGTTTGTTTTTATAATTACGAATTGTCAACAGTTATTAAAAACGAGCTGCGATGCTCGAAGAATCGTATCTCCTGTTCCCAAAGTGTCCATTTTTTGTGCACAATCTGAGCGTCAGTTACGGAGACATTAGTGCATTTTGTGTCGCGACGAGTGTACTCGTCGTGCGTACAAAATAGCGATCATTGGCTATTTCAATTGTAATTTCGCGAAAAATTCGCGAAAAATCATCGTAGGATGATGACTTTCTTTTTTAATTAAAGAGGGAGGATCAAAGTTCGTTCGTCTGTGAACGGCATCTGCGAAAAAGATTTTACAAGGTCCGCGCATTTCGTCGAACTTGGCAGTTTTCGATATGACGAACATGGCCTCGCATTTAAAGGGTTACAGTGGAGAGGGTGCGTCAAATTTGAAATCCAGGAAGACCGATTCGAAGCACAGTTTTCAAGCTTCGATTTGATATAAAAGTCATCGTCTTACGATGATTTTCCGCGGAGTTATCGTCGATCGAAGTTGGCCAAGTTTCGACCAAAATTTTTCAATGCTGCAGTTTTGTTGAGCGATACATTGCCTGTGATTTATGATTGCTGCTAAATGGTTTATACTCGTTAAAAATTAGATGAGTAAATTAATAAATAAACAGTTAACTCCTTGCAGTATAACGTGGTATAAGACTCGCAGCATATTCTGCAGCAGCAACTTGAATTTTTAACTTTCATAAGTATTTGATTTTTCCTGCATTTATTATGTATGTATTATATATTAATGTTAAGTGAATAAATAAATATTAGTAATAAAATTGTTAATTTTATAAAATAAAACCGTATTTTTGATCCAATATTTTACGAGCGACGCTTACTTTGTGTAAAGAGAAAAAGGCGCCACAGTTAACCGGTTAATAGAATGTGTAATTTTATGCGTTCTCTGATCCTTTCATCTTCGATATTCGAACAGAATTTGGATTTCGGAGTAGAATAGACAGAATGACAAAGGTACGTAAACGTTGCACAAGCCATCGACGATTAGAGTTTCTAGAATTATATAACACGTAGTTCGGGATTATCTAATAAACTTTTTAGTCGCGGCAGCAATTATCATCGTGAATCCATAAATCACTGGCGATGATGTAATCTATTCATTTCCTTCGGGTTTATTACGGTAACACCAGAACTTCGGCACGTTTACCGATGACAGACATCGTTTTGCTCCGATTGGCCGACGATTGACTGTCAAGACGGTATTCGTCGCGCGGTTTCGAGGCGCAATAAAAAGCCGGAGATACGAGCGATAGCTTAGCCAGCTAGAAAAACGTGCAAGAGTTCGGGTACCGCGAATACGAAAGCGAGACGTTACGGAGCAAAGGCACGGTAGCCGGTATTGGCGGGAAGTCCGGAGTGGGCGGAGTCGAAGGATCGTGACCGACCAGTCGACTGGTCGGTGGAGGAATGGCGGTGAGTGGGGGCGGAGCGTGCGACGCGACGCTACAGAGGGAACTGGTTCCCCGCATTTTCCTAACGTTTGTTTCGGTGGGGCTCGATCATCTTTCTAGCGATCGAACGCGTTAATGGAAATCCGCGCATGAATATTGAATTATTCAGATATCGGAGCGGGCAGCAACGTGAACGCGCGACACGCCGAGTTTGTGTCCTTGCCGGAGACTTCATAACCGTGTCTACGATTGCAAAACGGTTCTCCGGCGTCAGCGAACACGTTTCTGATGCAATCCGGGACAGCCGCGGCTAAAAGACATCTGAATTTTTAAATTGTTTCCGTGTTCCGTCCATTAACAGCGGCGAGGAAGTGGAAGTGGATGGGTGTGTTTTGCGGCCGCGTATCAATGTCATCATTATGAAACTGAACGCGCGCGTGCGTGCGTGCGTGCGTGCGCGCGTGGCTGCGTGCGCGCGAGTAACGCGAGAGTAACGCGCGAGAATTGCCGGGGCACCGTAAACACCGTAAACGAGACTTACCTGGAGTAAATCTAGGGATTGGATTTTCCGCGTCGACTGGCACGCAGTTCACTGGCAAGCCCGTCGCTGAACACGTCCTGTGCGCCACCAGACCGCAATCTGATACAGAAAATTAGTTGTGATTAGTAAGAATGCAGAACAGGCCTGTCAGGTTGGTGCTCACGTGGCACAATATTATTTATCGATTCGACGGATCCAGGACTCGGCTCCGGCACCGCCAATGCGGGACGCTGTCATCCAATGTCCGTTCGGATCTTTCCAACGGTCAGTTTCTTTCCGTGGCAAATTCTCAGGGAATTGGATTTCGAGACCGTGTGCTCGACATTTGGAATCAAATTTGTTTATCGTTATTATTATTATTAATTATATGTTTTATATTTATTTCATACGTTTATATGTATTGCAGTAGATTCTCCCCAATTTGCCAGCAGCATTTAAACGAAAATGGACAATTCCGGAAGAGGCGACTCATTATTATAGTTGTCAATTGTCAATAATTACAAAAACGAGGTACAAGGCTCGAATAATCGTTTCTTCTCTTCTCAAATTATGCATTTTTGTTTACAAGCTGAAATAAAATTAGGGAGAATTTACTGTATACGTTTTATTATTATTATTAAATTTATTATACATTTATTATTATTACATTAAAATATAATATATATTATATATAGTATATATAACAATATTATATATATTATATAATATATATTATTATTTATATATTATTAATATATATGTTTTTATTATTATTATTATTATTATTATTATAGTATATAATACCAATTTCTGAGATTAGCAACATGTGAACGATTATACGATGATACGATCTCGTCGAAAAAGAGCATTAAAAAGCGTAGCCGTTGCCTTATGATGTTAATGGATCAGATTTGGACACGATTTCATGCGTTCCACGATGATAGCGCAGTAGATCCTTTCGTCTAATAACGGCCAAAGGACTCGAACGGAGACTTGTCCCGGTTTCCGGCGCGACACCGAAAGAGAACTCGAAGAAACTAACGATCCGCGTGGTGCCGGCCAAGTCGGTAGGCTTCAACGAGCTCCACGAGCACACCGTGGAAACCTTAATCGCCGAAACTCGGAACTTTATCGTCGCTTCGGAGGCACCGGGGATTTTCGCGGTAATCCATCGCAGACGAAGCGATACGACGGCTTAAGCCACCCTAACACCGCGTGGCAGACACGTAGGTGCTAGTCAGACTGAAAAAATGTCTGGTCGAGTGCCGGGAATTAATCTTGGAAAAGTAGCGACTACTCAGGACCGTTTCTTCTCTCGAGGATCCACGTCAGACACTCGTTTTAGCAGCGGCTTTGTCTTCCGGTTGGTGTGTCAGGAGACCGCATACTCACTCGCGGTTTCTCGAAAAATTTCTTCGAGCTATGATTTTGTTGAAAGCGTTCGGTTCGATTGGTTTCGTCGGATGGACGGTCTAAGAGTTTATCGATAACACGACTGGATATCGTAAACGTGTATTTAGTAGGCATCGGTATCGCGAGGGAATAAATCAAATTGAGTATGCGGAAATATTTACGATTTACCCCTTGCGAACACTGTTCAACCCTCGGCACTCGAAGCTATTTTCCTCCGCGACGCAGACATTTCTTCTGATCTAATTTTTTTTTTCGTTTTTTCTGACCATTTCTGTACTTCGTTTTATTTTTAAAGCACATACCACGTTCCAGTCTCGGTGTCTACGCGCATGAATGGGATATGTAACAATCTACGGGGTGTCCCAAAAATGTCTCGCAATCCGGAAGTGGGGGGTTCCTGAGGTCATTCGAAGTCACTTTTTCCTTAGCGAAAATGCTATCCGCGGCTTAGTTTAAGAGTTACTAACGAAAAATAGTGGCCAATGAGGGGCGAGCTCGGCTGACGCGAGGCGGCAGAGCCGACGAGCGGAACTGGGATTCGACCGCTCGACCGCTGGCGCCGCTGGCTCGGCCGCCTCGCGCCAGCTGAGCTGGGACTCGACCGCTCGACCACTGACGTCGTTGGCTCGGCCGCCTCGCGGTAGCTGAGCTGGGCTCTCATAGGTCAGTGTTTTTCGTCAATAACTCGTAAACAAAGCTGCGGATTGCATTTCCGCTAAGGAAAAAGTTATTTCAAATAACCTCAGGAATCCATCATTTCCCGGAAGTACCATAATTTTGGGACTTAGGTATATTCTACTATAACACTTGTATTTATCATGTTCGCAGCACTCATTGACTAATTCATCAACGAAAAATTCGATTAAAAATGCAACCGATTGGTCACTGTTTTTCGCTAATTACTCGTGAACGAAGCCACAGATTGCATTTTCGCTAAGGAAAAAGTTACTTCGAATAACCTCAGCAATCCCCTATTTCCGCGCGCGCGCGTGGGGGCCAATTATATCCTGAACATTATCCATTTACAAATCTACAAGATCCATCAGAGTACACGTTAAAATGGCGTTCCAATGTTTCTGTAAGAAGGACAGACCGGAATAAAACAAACATCGACGTTTCAAAAATAAACTTATTATTAACACCGCGTCACCCATCTGTGGATTATAGAATTATTTAAAAATTCATTTTCACGCTAATCCATTCTAGTTTCTCAATTCTATTAAGATTCGCAAGAGATAAGAATGCTAAGAAAAAAAATATGACCGATGTCATATAACTTCGCTTTGCAATTTTAATTCGATCGAATTAAATACCTCAATTTTATGAAACTCTCGAGGTTTCTGGCGCGGCCGTCGAAGTGTTAACGAGAAAAACAAAAATTTGTCCATTTCTGACCGACAACGCGACACGACGGCGGCCAACGTCGTAACTTCGGCCGCTCGGAAATCCAGGCCGCTCGCGTCCACTTCGTAACACAATACCGCAGTTTCAAAATCGCCGGGGTTAATTTGATCCCCGCGTGGTTCGCGGAAGATTAAAATCTACACCGTTGCGTTTCGGAGGTTCTAGAAAATCGATCTACGCGAGAATTCCTCGCGTTCGCGAGTCGAGCGAAGAGAAATTCGTTGCATCGAGACGCGACGTTCGTCGAGCATTATTGATCGAAGGAACGAAGAAAACGCGTAATCAGGGAATAATCGGAGCCGCACGTACCCAGACAGAGGAAACCTTGATGCAGCAGACCTCTGAGATATTTATGGCACTTATCGCACTTCTCCAGCACGCTGAAGCTCTGCGGCATGAGGGTGTGCGGGTGCGAGTTGCCGGTGGTCGCGGCCTCGCCACCCATGGAATCGCTGCTCGTGGACACGATGGACGTTGCCGGCATCGCTGTTGTACTCGCCCCCTCCGGTAAAGACGGCTGAAGAAGTTCCTCGATGCAGGCCAGGATGTTCCTCTGATGAAACTCATCCTTGATGCCCATGTTCTGCGAACAAGAGAGAAACACAGCCGTTTGGTAGCGACGCTAAAAATCGTCTCCCTGCGAAAACATCTACAACTCGGCCGAAAATCGATCGACCCGTGCCGAATGCAACAATGAAGACCCTAGATCCCTAGCCAAAAATCTATTAAAAAACCGTCTGTAGCGAAGTACAGCGTGTTGAGGCTAAAATAGCGTATTGTATAATTCTCACCAATATAGCATATCGTACAATTGTTGCTTATTTATTTAGTTTGTTCCGTTTCGAGATCCACGGACGCGGGTTTCGCTGCCTTCATCTCTTATGGTTGTCTTATAATTGTCACCGATATAGCGTATCGTATAATTGTTGCTTATTTATTTAGTTTCGCTGCCTTATTCGCGGGTTTCGCTGCCTCGATCTCTTATAGTTCTGGTCTCCTAACTTTTATGAACCCCGGATGTGAGTTTACGACGGACTGTTTAAGGCAGGGATGGCCAAAGTTATTGTATAATTGTTGCTTATTTATTTAGTTTGTTCCGTTTTGAGATCCACGGACGCGGGTTTCGCTACCTTAATTCACTTATGGTTCTCGTCTGCTAACTTTTATGAACCGCGGACGTTAATTTACGACGGACTGTTTAGGGCAGAGGTGGCCAAGCTTATTTTTTTAAATCATAAACGGCGATCTAGGAACACTGCATGTGTTAACCCTTAGCGCTCCGTTGGCTCCGCTATGGAGACATCCGTCGTTTGTTCCGTAAATCCGAAGGCTTTGCTGCGGAGCCCAATGTTTTCGTCGACGTTGGCAATTGTTATTTATAGTGAAAACATGTTTAGCGAGTGTACCATTACCATTAAAACCTTTTTTGCCCATTTTTATACTTAGCAACATAAAATGAATCAAATCGAACGCTTTCGCAAGGACGCGTAATCTTTTCCGCTCGAAATAAGACTTCCTTTATCTCGGGCGCTTTGCTCCAAAAATGTGCCGGAGTTGCTGGTAGTGATATTTTTCAGAAAAACGCTGTTCAACTTTATCTTAGAACGTCCGAAGAATATTTACTAATTTTTAATTTAATTTAATTATCAATCGAGCCGAGTCCAGTGAAGATTAACGATAAAAAAATTCCGGCAAACTCGCGCAAAAGATATTTTTGTTTCGATAATTCCGTATCCAAACAGAATTCAACGGACGATTCGAAATGCTAATTTTATAATAAATCGCGTCAAAGAACGCGAAGGATATATTTATCTAAGAATTGTGAAGAATATCGTTAATAGTAAATTTACCCATTTCGAAGAGGATGCATTTGCTGCTTGGAAATTTCGGTCACAATTCACGATGTCGATGCACTGTCTTCGCACAATGTTAAGTAGATACCATTACGATTAAAACATTTTTTGCCCATTTTTATACTTAGCAACGTAAAATGAATAAAATCAAACGCTTTTGCAAGGACGCGCAATCTTTTCCGCTCGAAATAAGACTTCCTTTATCTCGGGCGCTTTGCTCCAAAAATGTGCCGGAGTTGCTGGTAGGTAGTAACTCGAGAAACGCGTGGATCGCTAAGGGTTAAATGATCGTAAGAAAAGTGGTAATTTAAAGCGAAAAATAAGTTTTAATTTATAAAATAAACACAGATGACATCGGACAGGCGAGCGACTAGGAATAGTTGCGCGGTCGACGACGCTTCGGTCACCCCTGGTCTAGGGAGAAACCCATCGCGAATTCGTTTATTATTTTAGTACGCCGGACTCTTCCTCGTGAAACGCGCCAACGTGTTACGCGTTCTACGAATTCCGTGAGAAATTGTCTGCACGCCGCCCAGTGACGTAGGCAGGTATCGCGAAGGGCGCGGGGAGCCGCGGGCAACTTCCGAAAAAGAGCAGCGCGCGAGGCGATCGTAATTCGTACGTGCCGTTACGTCCGTGACCGGGCGTCTCGTTTTTCCAGCGCTCTTCTGTCCCGGAGTCAACAGGTGTCAGGTACACGCGGCTCGCGCCGGGTAAACACCTGTGCGCGCAAAGCCCGCAGACAATGAGCCGCGGGGGCGGCGGAAACGTCTGCTGCTCGAGCTCCGTTTTTAATTCACGTCCGATCCAAGCGCCCTTATTTTCGAGGAGAACGCGAGCCCGAACTAATCGAGGGTAAAAGGACCGGTTGATTAATCGACGACCGGTGGCTGAAGACGCGATCCGGAGGAGGGTGCCGGAAGATCGATGGAACACCCGGATCGTACACACCGCCGCCGCCGCCTTGGATCGCCTCGGTTATAAGGCGGAACCGGTGAATTATAAGGTGCGATTTTTAGCGAGCCAACGGGCACCCGGGCGTGTTTCGAGAACTATTTTCTCACAGACTTTCGACGTTACGATCATCGCTTCATTCGGGAGCGTTGGGAACTTTTACGTCTGCGCTCTCGTTCGTTGACAGTTTGACTGCCACGGCACTCGTGTTTAACCCTTTCGCTACTACGGGCCACTATAGTGGCCTTTCATAAGATGCCACTGAGGTATTATGGGCCACTATAGTGGCCTTTCATAAGATGCCACTGAGGTACTATGGGCCACTATAGTGGCCTTTCATAAGATGCCACTGAAGTACTATGGGCCACTATAGTGGCTTTCCATAAGATGCATTATATTGCATAATGTTATTTCCTCTCATACTGTAAATTAAAGCGTGCATGCTAAGACGTTATAAATACCCTGGAATACCCTTTATTTATAAATACCCTTTGGAGAGAAATTTTTTCGTACGCAGTGATGTCGCGGCGCTCCGTTCAGCGGAAGTACCGCGGTGGAGAACCCGCCCGTAGCGAAAGGGTTAAGGAGGTATTCTAATGCGAATCTTTCAACAAAATCGACTTTTTTAAATATATTTTCCTGAAGAATGCGGGTTCGGAAATGCATTTACGAAACCTCGTGTCTGATTCCTTAATATCAATGATCAGCATTGGCATACGAAAAACGCATCGTTTTCGAAATTATGTTCACCAAAATGCAACCACGATTTTTCAAAATCTACTTAATGAATTGCTTTTCAAATTTTTTTACATATTCGGTATACTTATGCCTATCGTCTGAACTAGAATTAATACGTTGGCTGCCGTGGGGGTCACCGGTGACCGGCGACGCGACGAATAGTTAAAATACATAAGTAGAGTAAACACCGATACGCATAAATTTTTAAATAATATAATATTATAATAATTGTAATGTATTACAATGCGCCACGAAAAATGCATAAAACAAGTTTATACAACTAAACTTATCTGCTGTAAATAATATTTCAACATAATATGCATCGCATAATGAAAAATTTACGTTGGCGCCTTGGGCAAGTCACGTAAAATTCGCGCGGCAGCCAACGTGTTAATCAAAAAATATTAATTTTATATCTTTTCGGGCTCCCAATATTGAAAAATCGATAGAAAATAGAACGACCCTAAGTTTCTAAACCCTATATTTATCGCAATAAATTCGAGCAAACTGAATATTACCAAGATCTTCATAATTGCAAACGAGTCAAAAATATCATTGTCTACGTAAATTATCGATTAATTAAATTATTTTGCTTTCGCGGGAATATTTGGAATTGATTTNTCAGCGGAAGTACCGCGGTGGAGAACCCGCCCGTAGCGAAAGGGTTAAGGAGGTATTCTAATGCGAATCTTTCAACAAAATCGACTTTTTTAAATATATTTTCCTGAAGAATGCGGGTTCGGAAATGCATTTACGAAACCTCGTGTCTGATTCCTTAATATCAATGATCAGCATTGGCATACGAAAAACGCATCGTTTTCGAAATTATGTTCACCAAAATGCAACCACGATTTTTCAAAATCTACTTAATGAATTGCTTTTCAAATTTTTTTACATATTCGGTATACTTATGCCTATCGTCTGAACTAGAATTAATACGTTGGCTGCCGTGGGGGTCACCGGTGACCGGCGACGCGACGAATAGTTAAAATACATAAGTAGAGTAAACACCGATACGCATAAATTTTTAAATAATATAATATTATAATAATTGTAATGTATTACAATGCGCCACGAAAAATGCATAAAACAAGTTTATACAACTAAACTTATCTGCTGTAAATAATATTTCAACATAATATGCATCGCATAATGAAAAATTTACGTTGGCGCCTTGGGCAAGTCACGTAAAATTCGCGCGGCAGCCAACGTGTTAATCAAAAAATATTAATTTTATATCTTTTCGGGCTCCCAATATTGAAAAATCGATAGAAAATAGAACGACCCTAAGTTTCTAAACCCTATATTTATCGCAATAAATTCGAGCAAACTGAATATTACCAAGATCTTCATAATTGCAAACGAGTCAAAAATATCATTGTCTACGTAAATTATCGATTAATTAAATTATTTTGCTTTCGCGGGAATATTTGGAATTGATTTTAGCATTCGATAAGTTAACCCACTTCGCTGATCGCAACGATTCATCGCAAGACGGTGCGATTTAATCAGCCTCGAAGCGATTAAATCATCTTTGAAAACTTTAAACATTTCATTTGTTTCAAACGTTTATCCTATAGACTCCGTGAAAATTGTCGACGGAAAGTCAAACTCGGAAGAATCGATTTCAAGGTTTCCTTGAAATGGAGAAAAGTCGTGATCCAAAGGTAAAATTCCTCGGAAGGAAAAGAAGCGTTCCGCCTCGAATAAATCGCGAAAGTTTAGCAAGGGGAACGGACGAAAACGTGACGGGCCCGGTGCCGATTTCAAGCTGCGAAACTTCGTGTCCCGCGCTCGTTGATGAACGCGCGGCTCCTTTGCCTCGTCTGTCGTTTCCGGCAGCGGTCCGCCGCCACCGCCCACATTTTCCGAATTATGGTAATCGGGTTGGCGGTCGCGCGTACTATTTTAAAATACGCCGGCCACCGTGTTCCGGCGCCACGACGCGCCACTGGGCCAATCCGCTATAATTAGAATTACGCGCGGCAAAAGATCGTAGAATCGACGCACCGCTTGTGGACACGTGTACACGCGCGTA